AGAAGGGGGAGAGATAAGGACGATAGATGCTTGATAGGGAAGAAGGAGGAGAGATAAGGACGATAGATGTTTGATAGAGAAGGAGGATAGATAAGGACGATAGATGTTTGATAGAGAAGGAGGAGGGATAAGGACGATAGATGTTTGATAGGACAGAAGGAGGAGAGATAAGGAAGATAGATGTTTGATAGAGAAGGAGGAGGGATAAGGACGATAGATGTTTGATAGGACAGAAGGAGGAGAGATAAGGAAGATAGATGTTTGATAGAGAAGGAGGAGAGATAAGGACGATAGATGTTTGATAGGAGAGAAGGAGGAGAGATAAGGACGATAGATGTTTGGTAGAGAAGGAGGAGAGATAAGGACGATAGATGTTTGATAGGAGAGAAGGAGGAGAGATAAGGACGATAGATGTTTGATAGGAAAGAAGGAGGAGAGATAAGGACGATAGATGTTTGATAGAGAAGGAGGAGAGATAAGGACGATAGATGTTTGATAGGAAAGAAGGAGGAGAGATAAGGACGATAGATGTTTGATAGGGGAGGAGGAGGAAGCCACACTATAATAGAGCACCCACCAACCACCTACAAAACTAAAAACTAAAATAGGTGACGATCAGCAATATGGCATGTTGCAAGCGATGGAACGCGATTAGAGAGCAGGAGAGATGGAGAAATGAGAGGAGAGGTTTTTTTAGAGAAAAATTTTTAGCGGCGCTCTTAGGTTTCGAACCCGAGACCTATTGAGTGAGAGGTGAACACCGTACCTCTGGACCATGAGAGCCCCTCAACCCAATAATTTACAAAAGAAACAAATATATATAAGAAACAAAAAAAATCAACAACAACACACACACACACACACACACACACATCAAAGAGAGAGACACACACACACACACATACACATCAAAGAGACACACACACACACACACACACAAACAAACACACACACACACATACACACACACACACACAGACAAACACAAACACTCACACACACACACAAACACAAGCACACATACACACACACACACACACACACACACACACACACACGTACACACACACAAACACAGACAAACACACACACACACATTCACACACACACACAAACAAACAAACACACACACATAAAAACCCATACACATAAACAAACACACACAAACACACACACACACAAACAAAAACATTAAAAATGAACCACACAAGCATCCAAGAGAAACTAAACCGCTAAGCGATCGAATTAGAGCGCAATAGAATTACCCTGAGCTGGCGACAACCCAGAAATCCTTCCCGTTAGACTCAAATGGATATACGTGAGGCAGCGTGGTGGAATCAGGCTCTCGTCAAAATTATCAAAGAGAAGAAACTTGCATTTTTCCGCAGGTTTGTGAATTTGTATCAATTTTTAAAAAAATTTTTTGGCTCAACACCTTTCATGCCCATTTAAGAAGTCATTTCTGTGTGGACTTTTCTTAAAAACGTTGATTAAAGGCACAAAAAATGTCAATTTTCAGTTACCCCGGACTCTTAAGCTAAGGAAATAACTCATCTTTGGCAGCCATTTTCTCTTTAATTTTACCTCTGAAAAAAGGTGACCCCCACCTCCTTCATTTGCAAATATCTTGACTTGTATACAAGACAAATGGATATTTTTTCACCCAAATAAAGATAAGGGAACAAGCTTTAAGAAGATACCAATAACTCTAGAAGCCCAAAATTTGAAGAGAGCCTGATTCCACCACGTTGCCTCACATATGGTCGCCTTTAAAGACAAGCGGGTAAACCCAGATTTCGGGGGTTTCCAGAAATCTTGACCTACACCAAAAGTGGGCATCGCCCTACCTGTAGGAGAAGTTTGGTTTCATTGGTGGGTATATTGTTTGGTTATAGAGAAATCTCTCCTTGTCGTTTAAAGAAACTGAACAAGGGGCAAAAATTTTACCTTCGATTTTTTCAAAACAGCATTTTGCGGGATAGCCCCCTTGTGCTTAAAAGCGACCATATAATTATATACATGTTTAGTTTAGTTTTAGTAAGGTTTTACGGTGCTCGCAACTGCATAACGTCATTTATGAGCGTCAAGGGGTGGATGTCAATAGAGTAGTCCAAACGGGGAATCAGACTCACTCTGCTCACCTCTCTTCTAGCCTCAACAGCACAAAGTCTGCTTCGACTATAAAGGCACCCCAGAAATAGCAGCAATCCTTCCTGTTAGCCCCAAATGGATACACATGTATATATATATATATCTTTTTTTTTTCAATTTAGTCAGAGTTTTAGGGCACTTGCAACAAAATAAGGTCAAATAAATGCCGAAGAACGGATAACGTGTTACAAGAGAGTAACAAACACATAAAAGAAAGAGGAAATATCAAGATGATAGATGTTTGATAGGAAAGAAGGAGCAACCCACACAAGAGCATCCATATATAT